AGAGGCCCGCGCATCTACATTTTTTCGCCTGACCCCATCAGTGCCGACCCAACTACACCACCACGCGCATGCCTCGCGGCGGATATGCGCAGCAGCAAGAAGGTTTCGGTCATCCCTTGAGGGTGAATCTAGCCCTGCTCGCCAGAAAGACCCCCCCCCTTCACTACAACCCATGTCTAAGCAAAAGCTTGTCGAGGAGCGAGGGGAAGAAGGGAAATGACCAGGATTTATTTAGTGAGAAAAAAACCTCTCTCTGACGGGACTCGAACCCATGACCTGGCCCTTGGCAGGCTGCGAGGCTACCCACTAGACCACCGGGGCGACCGGTAGTGTCGTTGGTGGCGCGCCAACTACAAGGCCTTTCGCTGGGCGCTGGCCTTCTCTTTGGCCGCGAACTTTCTGACCGTGCAGCCTCCCTGTTTATGTGTTGGTGGCGCGCCAACTCGAAGGCCTTTCGCTTGGTGCTGGCCTTCTCTTTGGCCGCGCTGACATGTTCTCAGCAGACTGCTGTGTGTGCGTGCGGCGGTGCATGTGATGTGTTACTTCAAAGAAAGTTGCTACAAATCGAAAAATCGTGAAAAAAAATCCACAAACCGAGCCTCCCTCGGCTCTTAAATATGTAAATTGTGGGTTCTGGCGAGACTTTTTTATTTATTCTTTTTTCTTCACTTCAAATCAGCCCTCACGGCACTAATAGTGCCGTTTACTCCAACCCGTGGTCACACAGAAGAGCCCCTCTCTACCCTCCCCTCCTGCGGTACTTTGCCTTCGATTTTTAATGCGAGAACAGTTCAGCACTTTCTTCCCTCTGTGTACACACGAACTAGCGCTATCCACGAGGCCAGGAGCGGAAGCGAGAGAAAAACTCACTTTGCAAGAAAAGCTCGCTTACGCCGGGGTTCGAACCTCTGACCTGACCTCTAGAAGGTTTCGAGGTTACCAACTAGACCACCGGGGCGACCGGCCAGACTGTCAGGAGCAATCCTCAGAACGACGGCTTATCTCAAAATATGTTTCCTTATTTGGGAAAAATTTTGGGTCCGAAACTGTCAATATGATACANTCTTTGGCCGCGAACTTTCTGACCGTGCAGCCTCCCTGTTTATGTGTTGGTGGCGCGCCAACTCGAAGGCCTTTCGCTTGGTGCTGGCCTTCTCTTTGGCCGCGCTGACATGTTCTCAGCAGACTGCTGTGTGTGCGTGCGGCGGTGCATGTGATGTGTTACTTCAAAGAAAGTTGCTACAAATCGAAAAATCGTGAAAAAAAATCCACAAACCGAGCCTCCCTCGGCTCTTAAATATGTAAATTGTGGGTTCTGGCGAGACTTTTTTATTTATTCTTTTTTCTTCACTTCAAATCAGCCCTCACGGCACTAATAGTGCCGTTTACTCCAACCCGTGGTCACACAGAAGAGCCCCTCTCTACCCTCCCCTCCTGCGGTACTTTGCCTTCGATTTTTAATGCGAGAACAGTTCAGCACTTTCTTCCCTCTGTGTACACACGAACTAGCGCTATCCACGAGGCCAGGAGCGGAAGCGAGAGAAAAACTCACTTTGCAAGAAAAGCTCGCTTACGCCGGGGTTCGAACCTNCCTCCCTCGGCTCTTAAATATGTAAATTGTGGGTTCTGGCGAGACTTTTTTATTTATTCTTTTTTCTTCACTTCAAATCAGCCCTCACGGCACTAATAGTGCCGTTTACTCCAACCCGTGGTCACACAGAAGAGCCCCTCTCTACCCTCCCCTCCTGCGGTACTTTGCCTTCGATTTTTAATGCGAGAACAGTTCAGCACTTTCTTCCCTCTGTGTACACACGAACTAGCGCTATCCACGAGGCCAGGAGCGGAAGCGAGAGAAAAACTCACTTTGCAAGAAAAGCTCGCTTACGCCGGGGTTCGAACCTCTGACCTGACCTCTAGAAGGTTTCGAGGTTACCAACTAGACCACCGGGGCGACCGGCCAGACTGTCAGGAGCAATCCTCAGAACGACGGCTTATCTCAAAATATGTTTCCTTATTTGGGAAAAATTTTGGGTCCGAAACTGTCAATATGATACAACGAATCCATCTCTATCTAAGAAAAGAGTCCAAGACAGATTAGCAATGAATGCATAGCGTCAGTGAAGGCTACCTGTGTTTCCATGATTTCCCGAGCAGCATACAGCGACATCTCCCCCGTGGGTAACGGGGTCAACAAGACAGTGTGGTAGCCGTTTTGTGCATCCATCTGCATGTTATGCTGGGAATGTACGGAAGGAAAGTGTTGGGTAGTTGGTTTGTCGGGTGTGTTGTCGCTGGCACCCTTCCTTATGGAACTGTTCCAAGTGTGTATGGTATAATTACTGACAGTTGTTGTACGGCGTAGAGGGGCACGGGAGAACATTTTTACTCCTTCCGTGTTGTGCTGACGTGGTTATGTGTTGATTGGTGCAGCCAGCGTGTCATACTTGGATGGGTATGGCGTGGGTCGGATGTAGGTGGGGTGTATCGGCGTACTACTTTTATTAGAATACAGCAGGAGACCTCAATTTTACTCAACATCCAATCAGACCGAAAAGCCGAGAAGCAGGTTATTCTTATTCTCAATTCTGTGAAGAACAAGGAAGCACACAGATTACGATGTGTGAGAGATCTACGATGTACGCGTGGGCTGTAAATCGCTCACAGCAGTGCACGCATTGAGTGTTACCACACCTGTACGTGCTTGCTGAATGCAAACTTCACCGTCAAATTTCGATGAAGAATTTTCATCGCCGATTTCCAAGCCAACCAAATCGAACCTCCATGGGCCGTCAGGGTAGCCACAGAATAACTCAAGCAGCATGGCCGTAAAAGTTCCCTTAGTTAGCCACAGAAAAGCTCAAGCAGGGTACTGCTGTCGGCAACAACCTTGCATTAGCACCTTGCTTACGGCCCAACCTCCTGGAGATGTGCTCACGGATCATGCATAGCACGGGCGCTGAATGTTTTGTTCCAACTCGAGCAGGGTTGGTTTTTCGGTGCCCGTATTCGAACGGAGACATAAGTACTGTCTGTACTTCGAACGGAGCCTGCAATCATTTCTTACAGTAGAGGGCCCTCAGTGGCGCCGGTTGAGTAGTGCGTATGCCTGGAATATTGCCGGTCAAACTTCTGGGCCCGAGTGTCCACTCCAGTACTCTTGTAAAACCTTGTGTCCCTGTTTTTGGTACAGTACAGTAGTGCCGGTCCCGCTGAATTGTGCCGGTGAACTGGTCTGGTCCAGAGGGCCCTACGGAGGGCCCTATACATCAATACCGCCCGGCACACCTCTGTCGGGCAAATAGCTTCCTCTAGTCCTCGTCATCCACGCGTTTACCCCTTCCTCCCAAGTAGGGCCGGCAACACTCTCACTTCTTCGTCTGGTGAGCTTTGAAACGCTCACAACCCGCTTCTACACCGAGCGCTGATCGGCCAAGAGCGCTGTTAACGCATGGCAAGTGGGAGATAGAATCCTGCTGCGACGAAGCGTATGTCATGACATGGGGACATCATGTCGCGCCAAGCTTGCCAAAGCTGATTGTGGTACGCGTAAGGATGAAGTTGTTTTGTTTCTGAGACTTCCCAGACAACAAAACAGCCTCCCACAGCAGTCTACACCCGACCAACGTCTGCCTCTCTCGTCCTATTCCCGCCGCTGATTGGCCCCACATCGCAGCAAGATCTCTGCTGCCGCTCTCCTCCTGGTCTCGGGCAGCGTCTGCCGAGGGCAAGTGGAAACATGTCAGGACCTTCTGGACGCCTTCGCGTTGACAGCGTCGCAGGTATTGTACACGAAACAAGTTCTCAATCTAGAGTTACGCATACCAGACGCATATACCGGGGTATTCTGTACCGAAAAGAAGTTTGTGGCGAGATCTACTTTCTACGCTGGCGCCCATAGAAAACATCACACGTCGCCGATAGCTTGCTTGTGTATGGATTTCTTCAGTACGTACGACGGGGCAAAATTTACCCGGCTTGCTTGTCGAATCTCCCATTTACGTCTGTCCCTCGACAAGTCTGAACATATGTCGGGAGAGAGAGGGAGAACGTCGTGTCCGAGGGTGACGGCGGCGCGGCCCCCATACAACCCAACCAAATTGAACGACATTACAATAGGTAGGGCGGGACACGGGGCGCTTCACATCGAGGGCAACCATTACCCGTCCTGTTTTATGAAGAGGGTGCAAGGGGAGGGAGGGGGAGTCCACGTGCTGAATCTTCGAAATGCGACACGATGGAGAGCTTAAAACCGTCCTCGCAGCACTATAAGTCTAGATATTACGTAGTGTGCTTGATACCGCGCACCATATCGTACCGTACCGTACCGTACCGTGTAGATTCCGCCGGCCGCGACAACAATCTCCAACCATTCCAACAAAGAACAGCCAGTCTATCTTTGAAGTTCGGTATACTTTGTAACAACACACACACACGCCTCGGTGTCTTGCGCAGGACGTGGTGGTGGAGATCCAGCCCGGACAGGACATCACCTGCGACAACTTCACGACCATGAGCATGTCGGCGAACAGCCTGACGGTGACGGCTACCGACGGACAGTCCGGCAGCGTCGGCCTCAACGAGGTCCGCTTCGAGGTCACCGACGGAGCGAAGCTCTTCTGGCACCCGGGGGCCTCGTTCACCGAGACTGATTACCAGGACGTGAACGGCGGTGCGGTGAGTTGATTAGTCTTTTCGTCTTGATTTTAGTGTTGGCCGTCTGTCTTCGTATGTAAGGTGCACCGCGCGAGCAGACTCAGTTCCACCACGTGTTGTTTATTGTTGTTGGTAATTGAGCAGTAAATCCATCTAGATAATATCGGTTTAAGGATAAAATTGAGGTCTTCTTTTTTTGTAAATTGATGGACGAATTTTGAGAAAAAATCACCGGCAGTAACAGCGTACAACGAAAATAGCGCTGCCTTGTTCTTGGTCGCGATGGGCGGATTTCCGATAAATCGGACACAGGCAGTCGTTAGCAGAGCCCAATCAGCAGCACCTCCTCATGTTTGCCTTCCTAAGACATTGCGGAGGCCAATTTTCGAAGTACTGGGCACATGGCAGTGTCAAATCAGCAATGCTGCCTCTTGCTTGGCATCCGAAGACAAAAGTTGTGAAGGCGAATTGTCGGGAGATCGGACACCGGCACTCGGTAATAGTGCCCAATCAGCAACACTGCCTCATGCTTGCCCTCCCAAGATGTTTCAAATACTAGTGTACCCTTCCCAACACACTAAATATTGACCAACAGGTGTACGTTGGAGAAGGCTCGACGGCCCGGTTCTACGACACCCTCACCACGTCTGAGGTGGGAGTGCGCAGCGTGCCCGAGGAAGGCTCCGACTTCGCCAGCTACGAACTTATCGGAGGGTGCGTGCGTGCGTCCGTCCTCCTTTGTACTATGCTTTCATACCTCCCTTGTTTCTTAGTTCCACCCCGTCTCCCTTGCGTGTTTCACTCCATCCCATGGTATCTACCATGGTGAACCAACCGTTCATAGATGGGTCGCTCCCCGTGACGTCGTCTACTCTTGTCTGGCGGTGATGATGTCCAATTCGCGTGACGTCGTCTCCTCTTGTCTGGCGATGACTAGTCTAGGTCGAACCTGACTCGTCGACCTCAGTTGCCTACTGTATGTACGCATATCCTGCGGTCTTGTGCTTTTCGGTGCGGTGCCCGTAGTGTTCTTCCCTTCGTATCGCTCGCCTCCTCTTGCCACCCTTCTTTTTTCAGACAATATTTTACGAAACAGACGTCACACGGGTGGGGTTGAAAGAATGTGTGGGTATGAACAATAATAGCGTCTGTTGTACTTGTTCGCTTAGTTTTCCTGTGTGGGGGTACTGTACCCATGCTTCTTGCGTCTACCCCATGGACTCTCGCATCAACGCACCATTTTCGATTTTCTCCACGGACGGACGTGCCCGGCAAAACCAACTGTCTCCCCGCAACCAACCTCGAAAAAGGTGCGTATACATACGTGGACGGCTACTTCCGTGTGGAGGGCCACGCCTCCTTCGTCGGCTGCGAGAACTCGGGCGGAGGGGAGAGCTCGCCGGGGCCCGGCGGCGTGATGTACGTCGGGGAGACCGGGTCGGTGCTGTTCGCGGGAGAGGTGACGATGCAAGACGTGTCCATCATCGACGACGAGGGCAACAACGGAGGGGGGATCTACAACCTCGGCAAGGTGCGGAGTATTTTTTTGGTCGGTCGGCGGCTGAGCGAAGCGAGTGGGAGATAGACAGACAGGCAGAGGGAGAGAGAGAGCCGGAGATTGAGAGAGACGCACAGACAGACAGATGGAAACATACAAAGAGAGAGAGCGCGAGAGAGAGGGTGGGTGGGTGGGTGGTGTACAACCGGTTTGCTGATCTTCATGCCCGTCGTCGCGGCTTGAGAGACAAGTCGGCGTGTTTCGTTTTTTTTAAGTTGTCCGTTATCCCATGCAGTTTCAGTTCCTCATTTTGGCTCTGCCAATTGAGACTATCATCCGCGGCTGGCCTCTCTTGCTGTGAAGACCTCGGCGGGGTCACACAAGATCATTCTTGCGCGGCGCATGCATTCATATACAGCAAGTTTGTTTTCGTATGAATGCATACGCACGCCCACTCTGAGGTTATAAGCTTCGATTGTCACCCTGTGGGATTCCGTGATGGCATACCTGACCAAGAACGACGCCTTCACCGTTTCGCCACGAAATAAACCCAAACAAACACAGGTCAACATCAAGGGGAACGCCTTGTTCCAGAACCTGCGGGCGGAGGCCGGAGGGGCCATCTTCAACGGCTCGGGGGCGGAGTTCAGGTTCAAGAAGGGGGCCACCGCCGACTTCATCGACTGCCTGTCCTTCGACGGCACCGGCGGGGCCGTCTTCAACGCCGGCTACTTCAAGCTGTCCGGCCCCGCCGAGGTCGTCGAGTGCCGCGCCCCGACCTTCGTGGTCGGAAGCAGCGGGTACACGAGGCTGTCGGAGGGGTCCGTCTTCAACGGCGACGGTTACGAATACCCCGAACCCATCATTTTGGTCAGGGAGGGGGGAAGGCTCACCGGCGTGGGGAAGGTCACGTTCGACAACGCCGCGGAGACGGGCTGCGGCACCGTGTACTACGAAGAAGGAGACGTGTGCTACTCATGAGAGAAAGTTATCTGTTGTCTACCAACGGTCATTATACCGTAAGTTCGAGCGTGTAGCCAACAAGGAATTGCCCAGATAGACATGTTGGGCGGGGCAGCGAGCTTCGTGGATGGCAAGTCAGGTGTTCCCGGAGCCAGCCGCGTTGCTTGTTTGACGAGGTCGGGGCTTTATTGCCGGACGGAGAGATACGTTGGCCGGCTTTGGTCGTTCAAAGGTACCGAATTCATTGGCGTTGGCGTCTTGTCAAGGGAGTTGGGGAAACCGGTACGAAATGTAAAAAGTAGATGTGTTGTTGTTGAGCGATAAAACCGTTCGGCGGCGTGCTGAGCCATCGTACAATCCAAGACCCGTGCCGGTGATACTGACGCGAGCGCCTGTCTGTGCTGTAGACGAAGTTGGAAGGGCAGGATTGTTGTGATGTGCTGTGATGTGCAGAATAGACAAAACAATAGCAAGTCGTTGCTTTCTTGAAACGCGTCGGTTGCTCCTTGGCGATTAGTGTGGGTACGTGGAAAAAAGTTCACGTAGTACTTGTACGCTGGTGAGACTAAGTTGCTCACGAGGACTAATGTTACATGTACTCCGGTCGAGATTAAGGGTTCACGCGCAAGGTCTTGCCGCGCGAGAGAGCGTAGAGCATAGAGAAGAAGTAAGGTGGACATGTTGCAAAGGTAACTTGTAGAAGAAAATAACTATCTTAAGTGAAACATCGGGAAGGCGATTGAAACAAGGGCTGGGTTAGTCTGCGGAAAGAGAGGGCGTATCACGGCCCTGAAATTGGCGTGTGGCGTGTGGACATATCGTTTACGCGGGCAATGGCGCAACAGGTACTGTTAAAAACATTTGCCACATGAAACAGGGGCGCAAAAATCATCGGCGTGTTGGCGGAGTGGTTTTGAAGGAAGTCCCGGGGATGCTTCTCGTTGCGTGGTCTAGGGTTCGCAGAGTTGAACACCGAAGCCACGAGGCTCTACATAGAACAAGTAGAACGTTTGCAACTGTGTGCAAGACACTAAGTGATGCTTTGGGTGGTACTGGTTGAAATGACAAATGTCAGGCCTGTCCGATCGTGACGCAGTCATTATATTTTTCATGACAAAGCCAACAGCAGTTCTCAATGTCCCGTCGAGGAAATTTCGGAAGCGATACAGATGGTCGACTGATTATGAGGTTTCAACGATGATTGGTTTAGACTACTCCGAACCAAAAAACGTCTGATTCTGATTCCCCTCAACACTGCATCTCTCTGTTTCTTTGCTCACAAGATGCAGTCGGGGAAACAGACTACTGCCACCTGCGACCAACGTGTTTAGTTGCCATGCCCATGCCCGATAAAGCACGCTCGGGGACAACACAGACTAGTCTACAGCCTTCACAAAACTGGGCAAACGTACTCTAGCCTAGCAGCTTGCTCTGACGCGCGGGAAGGACCAGTGATTAGGTCGACCCTCTTTCAAGCATTTAACATTTCCCATACACCTGCTGCGCTGTTTTTTTCCAGCCATACGTACTCAAGCTGTCCCTGCAAACATGGATCCAAACGTTGTTGCTACGCAACTGTCCATGGCATCGATAGCCGCAGGTTCTCAACAAACACGGACGCAAGTAGGAGCATGAACTAGTACCTGCGCATGGGCAACCACGCAGATCGCCTCTTAACTGTGAAAAAAAAACGTGTCAACGGATACACGACAGAAATCAACATCCTGCTACAGGAGTAGTGCTGCCGAGGACTGCGCTTTGACAGCCGACCCGCTCGACACAGGCAGAGCAGCACATTGACAGCAAGCAGTTTTCCTGGCACAACACATTCAACCATGTATCCGACGATACAATGCATGTTCCAACTACGACGAGCGTGCGCGATCCTTGACTTCAGGCACATGCACCGCTCGGTACGTTCGAGGAATCACTTTTTTTAGTCTCAGCACTTTCAGCAAGCAGATTCCTGACGCAATGCCATCAACCATGCTTCCGACCATGCAATTCACTTTCCAACTAAGACGACAGTGCGCAGTCAGACGCTTGCACATCTCCGTACATACCTTCGAGGAAACAAAGTTCAATCATTGTCTCTATCATGTCCCGGGGGCTCTCGATGTAAACGTTACAATCGTGAACCAGCCTGACGGGAAAACGCTCAAAAAAACAATCGAAAAAAATGTCGGGGAAATGCTCATTGCGTACGGCGAACATCAGCTCATCTTGACCTTGGCGCAAAAAGTGTCACTGCTCGTGCGACAAACAAGTCGAGCTAACAAGGTCTAACGCCTGGTCCGTGCAAGGAAAAGGCAGGGCTGCTACCGCAACCCTACCGTCTTCGATGCACAACCAGAAAACACGCACGTGCGTGTTGCGTATGCATATACAAGGAGAACGTGTCTTCACTCAAATAAACACCAATCACGAAATAAAAGGTTGCAACGAGCTCAAACACCTAGCATGAGCTCATCCAACCCAACCTTCCATTCGCCCCGTACCCAGCACCTTGAACAAGCTACGCCGCCGGTAGTGAGACGTGCTGCACTGCAGCACGTCATGTTTTATGTTCTTCTATTTCCCGAAGCCTGGAGATCATGTTGGCCTAACCGACAAAAAAGACGGCGCGCTGCCGCAGATAAAAGCATCGCTTGCGGGTCTCTAACCGCACGCCGAAATTCCCACCCACAAACACCCCTATCTATCCCCGCTCTGCCACGCCCCTTATCCTCACGCCACCTTAGGAATGGTGAAACTATATCCCCCTATCAACCGACCGCCGCCATGCTACACGGGGGGAAAAGCTTGATATCCTCACGAGATTAATTACACTACCCAACTAACGATCGCTAAACGTTCTGGCTGACCACACGTGAAGAACGGGGGCAGTTTTGCCTTTGCACCCCGTTGTAAACTCAACAAAAACAGCCTAATTGTCGCTGTGCTGCTACAACGGCATGCGACATTGTTCATCGGCCCGACCTCCGTGACATCCAAGCACTTCTTGTTGGGCAAGAACGCCTGAGTTTACACTTCGACAACTGTATAGTCTACACTGAAGCGGTACCGATGCCAATCAAAACAAACTTGTTTCAGGCACATTAGCTGAAGCATTCCTGATGGTCAGTTTCCACCCACACTGCCATATTGATGACAAAAATAGTCGTAAGTCGTGATGTTTCTTTTTCTACATTGGTTTGTTGATCACCAGCTGGCCGGGCTCAGGAGATCCAGGGTTCGTCGGCGCTTCTCCTACTCGTTTCAGCTGATGGTGATGAAACGGCAGCAGTTGCGCCGCAATTTCATGAGGGAAGCGGACGGAGAAAAGTGCGTGGGTGAAAGGAATTGGTCAGGAAGGATCAGGACGTCAGTGAGGTGCTTGTGCATCATCCGGCAGGAACGAGTGTATGACAAAACATGGGGACTTTGGGGGTCATATCAAACAGAGGTCCAACTCGTTGCGTGCTCATCGTCTGTGTTGATGTCCCTGTGCTATCAAACATGACTAAGGGCTAACAGGATGCTGTCCGCAACACCGTACGCACCATCACAACTTGCGTGAGTGTGCATTACACCTATCGTATATGCGCTGCGAACCGCACGAAGGCAACCTTTATGTCTCGATGTCTCTATCCCAGACAACAAAGAAGCTCACCAACACTGCATGTACAACACCGCACATTGAGGCACACCGGACCTGCTTGATGTTGTCCCGTATGATCTCCCAGCTGCCAGTGGACCTGTACTCCAGGCCGTTCTCCTCCGCGAACTTCTTTACCAGTGGCACGAGATCGGGGTACTTGTAGCGTGGAATAGTAGGGAACAAGTGGTGTTCCAGCTGGTACTGCATGCCGCCCCACAAGTGCCTGGGGGGGGGGGGG